ACAGATTTCACTTGGTTCAGACGTAAAAGAGTCACAAGTGTTTTCATATGTTTGATTTTATTTTCTTGGTATCTGTCCTCTTGTTTGTTATCATGGTGATTTGCTGCTGTATCAGAGTCATGGCAGATTTCCAGGGTTGTTGGATTAAAGAATTTTAGTGTTTGATGTTTCCGAAGTAGAAATTTGACATGGCGTTGAATATCTGGAATGCTGATGAAATGTGGATTTTCTTGGTAAAACAAAGGGGTCTTCCCATTCTGAAAAAAGGAACTACCATTGAAAAAATAAATCTGTTAGGTCATAAACTATTAACGGACCTCACTATCCGCTACTCCAAACACTTTTAAGAATGAAAAATGAAGTTCAATTATACATTTAAGATACAATACAATTTTGTTTGTGTTCTTGCTGAAAATTCTGTAAAATTGTTTTGAAAGAAGCTTACCACATCTTGTATATTGAAGTCTGCCTCCAACTCTAATAGGTATGTTGTAAAAATTTGATCGTCTAAAACCACTGCATAGTGTAGAGCTGTTCTTCCCAGCTGTAAAACAGAGATTCAAAAGTTTTTTTCTAATTTGTATGCTGGCTGCTTGTATGCTATCTTTTCATCTTTGCTTTTTTAAATGGATAATTTGAGATAAGACAAAGTTGCGAAAATGACTGCTCCTGAGCCACAGAACATCCTTGGATCATTAGGTTGATTTGAGTTTTGAATATGTATAGTCTTCAGAAGAATGGTATACTAGAACTGCACGAAGAATCGCATAATCCTTTTAAATATACCTCTAACTAGAAATGTCTTTTTCTATTTCTATCTTTTTTATAAATATGTCAGCGTAGAAGTCTATTATGGCAGAGTATCGAGAAAAGACGAGTCGTCATTTTAACTTTCATTTTCAAACATGGATGGATAACACAAAGGTTTGAAAGGTTAAATTTCGACAGTAAGCTGCTGTGAACAATACTACAAATTAAGCTTAAATTCCAGATTCTGAGAATAAGGTACAATAATTGGTCAAAAAGATGGCGAGCATGTCCCATTAATGCCAAGTATACTTACATAATCCTGTATGTTGACCACATGAGGGAAATTGTCAAGAAGAAATTTGGCATGTTCACATCTGTTAAAAATGATGGCTTTCTGTAGGGGAGGTAATCCTGTTGTGTCTGCTGATTGGGCAACAAACTGACTGGTACAGGTAATGGGGTCTGTGCTGTCTCTAGTTGCTGTAATAGTCATAGCGAACTGGATAATGCTCTCCTGCAGTAAAAGTATGATTGATGTGAGTGTACAATTATTATGGTTAACAGCATTCATCTCTTCATTAAGATTGTAAAGAGGTTTTCTAAACTTTTTCTTATGTGTATCAGGAACAAGGATATCATCAATTTACACTATTTCAATTATCAGTCAGATGTCTGTTTTTGCAATTCCACTCAATCAAAAGCTAATAATAATATCTGATGGTCTATGCCATAGTCATATCTTAAACACTTTGTATTGGTGGAATAACAGTTTAGAAAACATCTTGACAATTCCTTTAAAGAGGTCATCTAAATATTCAAACAAAGGAATGTAGTCATCTAAAAAAGCTAAATATCAGATATCTGTATCGCTTTTCAGAATGATAATCATAATGATATTACCAATATTATGTTTGACGTTTTCTGACATGTCCATAATCAGAATCCAAGAGCGGAAAAAATCAACCTGTTCCATATGAAATGAATCAGCTAGTTATCTTGGATCATTCAAGATTGCAAACCTTAATGCCATGGATATTCTGTTCTTACCCAAACTTGTTGAACATTATTTAGAAATGGCACCATTTCTAGTGCAATTCCTGGAATGTTGCAGATTTCTGTTGGCCAGACTGACCATCCTGAAGCAACCAATTTCTCAAGCTCATGGAAGGAGTCACATGTCAAAATCTTCAGCAGCTGTCCCAGAATTAGTTTCTGAGTTCTTAAAGCATTCTTTGATATAGCTAGATCCAACACATTGGATGAGCTCTCATCTCTGAAATGATGAAAAGATAGGAGAGAGTTACCGTTTCTTGATCACTTGCTGTATTTTGTATTTGTATCATGTATTATTTACAACAATTTTAATGATGAAAATTTTACATACTGACCCTTTAAATGTCATGCATGACTATTAGAACTTTGTTAAAGTCCTCAGAAAATACAACAAAAAAAGCATATAGATCTATATTTTGATAAGAATAGAAAAAGACAACAAACCTCCATGTTATATCTACATGTTGAAGAAGTTCTGTTAAAATTTCCTCACTGCTATTTTGATCCAAGGCTACATGTAGGTAAGATCGTCCATCTCTCCCTCGGAGGTCATTATCGCCCTTGACCAAACATCTATGTAACTCCTCCAAATCATTGTTCAAAATTGCTTGAAATATATCAGTATTTTCAAACTCCATGTTTCCACATCAATATAGTTTTATGCCACAGTATCTTAGAGTTCAGGCACTAACACACAAGTATATAGTCTAGGAAAAATTCTCTTTTGAAAACATCAAAGAGATGAATTTGAGTTAATATTTGATTTCTCATTTGCTAAAGATCAATTTCAGCTATCTGTATCATTTTTCAGCTAAGAATTCAATGTGTGCAATTAAATGATTAATCACTTGTGGAGTTGTCAGTAGTTTAAGTTTCAATGCCTTGTTAACTTTCTTTCATGCAGTTAATCAAATATGAAAGAGGCCGCTGCAGATCTTTGCATTCGCCAAAAACAAACAAAACATATTTGTTTTGTAAATCCATTCTATGGTGGTCAGGTGTCAAAATTTTGAAAATAATTAAAGAGCTTAAATCCTGTATTTTATGCAATTTGAAAGATTATTCTTTTGATATAATTGATACATTTTTACAATAAAAGAATATTTAACTTCAATCAGTCAGTTTTCTTTTATTGAAGACAAACCATATACCAGAATTTCATTCTGAAAAATAATATGTAAAGCTGAAAATTAACACCTTACCAAAATATTTAAACTGTTTACTTTCATCAGTATGTTCTATTTAATTGCAGGCAGACCAGATGTCTGACTGATTCCGATAGCTGAAAATTAGCTCTATCAGCTTGCCAGTCAAATATTTAGATGACTGTATCCCTTAAGCATCAATTTTAAAAAAATGTAGTCACAAGTTTAAATCGAAAACATAAAAAGAGCAACATGAAACAAATCATTATTATGGCACTGAATTGAAATTGTGTGATAAACTTCAATTTATAGATGTATATTTCTGTTGTCATGGAAACAGAAAGAAGTTGAAATAAAGTAGAAATGGCGTTGAAATGTGGATTAGATCAATAGTCATTAGTTATATCAGAGAAAAACAATCAACAGCTAATTAGAGCGTTCTTGACGATTCCGATTTTAATATTGGTAATTGATAATAATGTTGAAAGGGAAAATACCCCATTTGCCAGTCTTGTCTGATGTAAAAAATTGCAATGGCAGGTAGTGATTGAAGGTATTTGGTCTAGTTACGGTACTGATAATTTAGTTGAAATCAAAGGAATTTCATTCAGTCATGTCTGACTTGGAAGAATTGCAATGACAGGGAGTGAAGGTCCTTGTGAGGAAAATTGCTGACAATGAAATATTACAATGACTGGTTAAAAGGGTCCTATGACAGCACTCTGTGGAGTTATGTCCAAATGGTTCCAATGAAGCTTTGAAGTTTTCCTTACTATAATGCTAGAACTTCATATTTGATTGCAAGAACTCTTCTCTAAAATGTTCAACAAAGTAACTTGAAATCAGTATCGTATCCCTGAATACTCCAGCCTACGTAAGAATTTAGATTTTCAATATTTATCTGTTCTAGTCTGACTGACAAGAATATAAGGAATTTCTATCAAATGTCTGGCAGGAATCAGTATTCCTGAAATTGATTTCATAATGTAGAATGTGAATAATGAAGATGTTAATTTATTAATGATTTTTCCCTCGTGAGTTAATTTAATAAATTACATGCTATATATTGATTATAGGCACCTCTTTATTATTCTCACTTTCTATATTAGTCATATATTTACCTTTATTTATATCTGCTGACTAAGTTAGAGGCTTGCTCACTAAACTGAAGATCCAGGGTACAATCATAGATGGAGATTTTAACCTGGTGACCCCTATAAGTGATTCAGGTTGAAGGGGCTGAATTGGAAAAAGTGACCGATGGAACAATAAACCCAGGCCTCATATGATACAGGCTGTGCACTTTAAAGATCCCTTGACAGTTGGAAATGAAAAAAAAAATGTAGACTTATGCTGCTGTCCTACAATTTCCTCATTGCACACAGCATGTCATTGCCCTTCTTCATCCCCCGTCCGTCCTCATTTGGCTTGTGAACACAAAAGAGATTACAGTTTTCATCCAATTTAAATGAAATTTTGGTGTGATCATTGATATCAATGAGATCTTGGACAAGTTCTAATTTGACAATCTTTTGATGAACAAGTTTGAATTTGACGATTTTTCTATGAACAGAATTTGATTTATTGCTTTTGTCTTTGTAAAAACGCATCAAAATTTTTTGTCACGTGATATAGGTGACTGTTTATATCAGAAATTTTAAGAAATTGTTTTTGGGATTAAATCAACAATATCTTTGACAAATTAGATTTTTGACACAGACTGAACACCCTAAATACCTCTTGATATAGTTTTATGCATGTCTTGGTCCTATTCAAAACATAAACATGAGCACTCCATTGTATTTTGTGGTGGACTAGATAAAATTTTAACTCACTCTGTCCATTACTTCTTACACTACCTAAACCTAAATTGGGCTGTTCTTGTTTATGTTTTGAAGCATCCTCATATGTGCAAAAACATACCTACTCTGTTCTGATAGTATTTCTTTCATTGCACACTGCCAATCTTCAATAGCCCAATAAGTATTGACTTGAACATGTAAAACTCCATCCCATTCTATGAAAATAACTTCAACATTTGTTCAATTTCAGATGATAATGAAATCAACTCCTACCCAGAACCAGCTTTCTGTAATCCAATACCATGGCAACCAATTAAAATACCACGACAAAAATCAGATACCAAGAAAAGTTCGAATAAGAAATCTCTGAAATCGTCCTTGAAATCGAAGTCATATACCTGGAATCCAGCCAAATATTATTAATTTAAACTGTGATATTTAATAGAACTATTCTGAAGATTTAAAAAGACATGCCCATTAGAAGAAAATCCTTATGCTACAGACACATAAACAGTCTTCGTCACCAATTTTAGTCGTCTAATTTATTTATTATGTGTGCCCGAGCTCCCACAACAAGATTATTGCGTTTTCATCAGAATTTATAATATCAAACCAGTTTGATAATTGTCACCAATAGTCTTATCATCTCCAAGAAAGAATGTCATCATCCAATCAGATTTATTTTCCTTTCAATTGCAAGATCCCAACGTGACTATCATGTGCCCACAGCCAGTTGGTGAAATTCTTGACAAGACTTAAGTGAGTGACAAAAATCGCCAACCTAGACCGTTCATGTGTTCGCAGCATTAGATACCCATTGACAATTTATTTTACACATTGACTGTAACGTCTTACTAACATGTTTTCAAAGAAGTATGTGGGGCTAACCCTTAAGATTTACATGTTTGTATTTTATTGCAGAGATATTTGTACATAATTATAAAGTGAACTGCCCATGTTTATACTTTAAATTGTACACAATATGCTCAAATATCTTGGCTTGACTTGATTATCTATTGTAATTCCTATTATTGGAATGGATTTTGTGTTTTGATATGTGATAGTGTCTGTATTTCTCCTTGTGATTATTAACTATGTCTCAGTATTTGTAGATTTAGGTTTTGTTTTTATAGAGAATTATTATTATAAGGATCAGTGTAGTTGTTGCTAAATTAAAGTTGTATTTGCCAATTTTTTGGGTATATTTTGAAATACATTTATATTTTGAGAATCAGACTGTTTTTGACCTCTGGCTTTCATTCCATATTTTTATTGTAGCCACTCCAGTTCGGATCTATCTATCCTTCTATAACTATATATATAACTTTTATACTGATTTATAACACTGTCTCAATACTGCCAACCAATCAAATTTCTTCCCTCTCCAGCGCTTGGATTATGTGACTGCAAGTCTAAATTGTGCTGAATATTGTTTAAACCTCAGTGTAATTGGATTGGTTAATGCAGACGCAGCAGGTTAGGGTCAAGGTTATATAATACAAGAAACAAGAAGGGAGTAGAGTAGTTAGACCTTAACTAGATTGGTTACAAAATAGAATTGTTAAAACAATGTTGGCTGCATTTCTTAAAATACTACCTCTTTCTCTTAGAATAAACATAAAATTTAAATCCTCAAACTTGGCCAAGTAGTCTATATATATTCATCATTTAATTTTGACCTACCCAGGGCCATGCTATACAACAGAATCCCTTTATAATCTTAAAACTCATAGTTATTGAAAAATGCTTGATTTAATGGATTATACAGGGATTCTGCTGTTTACTGGTAGTTTTGATACCAAGTAAGTTCACTGATTAATAAATTCACAATAAAATGATGTAAAATATTATTAGTTTTGAGCTAGTTGATTAAGAGAAGGAGACGTTAACGTGACGTTTTATGCAGTAACTCAAAGTTACCTTTTTATACGCCCACATGAAATGGGGGGTGTATATTGTCGTCACCCATGTCCGTCGGTCCGTCCGTCCACAATTGCTCGTAAACACTCTACAGGGCACAATTCTTGACGGATTTTAACGAAACTTAGTATGTGTGTTCGCAATCACCCAAGGATAAACCCTATTGAAAATCAGCGAAATCGAAAAATATTTAGCATGAATTATTCCCCTTGTTAATTTTTAGCTCGTAAACACTCTAGAAGGCACAATTCTTGACAGATTTTGACGAAACTTGGTATGAGTGTTTGTAATCGCCCAAGGATAAACCCTATTGAAAATCAGCGAAATCGAAAAATATTTAGTATGAATTATTGCCCTTGTTCTTGCAAACGCGTTCAATTTTTAGCTCGTAAACACTCTAGAAGGCACAATTCTTGACAGATAATGACGAAACTTGGTATGAGTGTTCGTTATCACCCAAGGATAGACCCTATTGAAAATCAGCGAAATCGAAAAATATTAAGTATGAATTATTGCCCTTGTTCTTGAAAACGCGTTCAATTTTTAGCTCGTAAACACTCTAGAAGGCATAATTCTTGAAAGATTTTAAAGAAACTTGGTATGAGTGTTCGTAATCACCCAAGGATAAACCCTATTGAAAATCAGCGAAATCGAAAAATATTTAGCATGAATTATTGCCCTTGTTCTTGCAAACGCGTTCAATTTTTAGCTCGTAAACACTCTAGAAGGCACAATTCTTGACAGATATTGACGAAACTTGGTATGAGTGTTTTCGTTATCACCCAAGGATAGACCATATTGAAAATCAGCGAAATCGAAAAATATTAAGTATGAATTATTGCCCTTGTTCTTGAAAACGCGTTCAATTTTTAGCTCGTAAACACTCTAGAAGGCATAATTCTTGAAGGATTTTAACGAAACTTGGTATGAGTGTTCGTAATCACCCAAGGATAAACCCTATTGAAAATCAGCGAAATCGAAAAATATTAAGTATGAATTATTGCCCTTGTTCTCGAAAACGCGTTCAATTTTTAGCTCGTAAACACTTTAGAAGGCATAATTCTTGACAGATTTTGACGAAACTTGGTATGAGTGTTCGTAATCACCCAAGGATAAACCCTATTGAAAATCAGCGAAATCGAAAAATATTAAGTATGAATTATTGCCCTTGTTCTTGAAAACGCGTTCAATTTTTAGCTCGTAAACAAGTGCATAATTCTTGACAGATTTTGACGAAAAATATTTAGTATGAATTATTGCCCTTGTTCTTGAAAACGCATTCAATTTTTAGCCCATAAACACTCTAGAAGGCACAATTCTTGAAGGATTTTAACAAAACTTGGTATGAGTGTTCGTAATCACCCAAGGATAAACCCTATTGAAAATCAGCGAAATCAAAAAATATTTAGTATGAATTATTGCCCTTGTCATTGAAAACGTGTTCAATTTTTAGCTCGTAAACACTCTAGAAGGCACAATTCTTGAAGGATTTTAACGGAACTTGTTATGAGTGTTCGTAATCACCCAAGGATAAACCCTATTGAAAATCAGCAAAATCAAAAGATATTTAGTATGAATTATTGCCCTTGTTCTTGAAAACACGTTCAATTTTTAGCTCGTAATCACTCTACAGGGCACAATTCTAGATGGATTTTAACGAAACTTTGTATGAGTGTTTGTAATCACCCAAGGATAAACCCTATTGAAAATCAGCGAAATCGAAAAATATTTAGTATGAATTATTGCCCTTGTTCTTGCAAACCGTTCAATTTTTAGCTCGTAAAAACTCGATACATAAAACTTTTAAAAAAATACTTCAACCTAATTTGCTTGAATATAATCTGCAAATACACAATTCATGACAGACTTATTGAAATCACCCAAGGATAAATCTGATCAAAAATCTTGTAAAACACGTAATTTTTATTCTACAAAGCAGAAGTCTAAAACAAATTTGACAACTTGATGAAATTGATCACAATCAAAACTAAACCTTTTGAAATATAAAATACAAGTTATTGCCGTTATTCTTACAAATGTGTTTGATTTTTAACTTGTGATGGCACAGTTTGTGATGGATTTGGGTATAAGTTGAATATTTCCTGGTGTCTATGTTTGCTATTTTCTAACAAATATTCAATTTCAAACAAAGCTATCAGTGGGCGTATATTACCTTGCCTGGCAAGCTATCTTTCTTGTTTGTGTTATGAGCGTCATTCTGGATTCAATATGGCAGATGCGTGAATAAGGTCTATGACATCCTGTTAAATTGTATAATATATTTTGTTTATTTATTTATTTGTATATCATTTTATGAAAAATAATCAGAATTGATAGTGTTAGATTTTATATTTTGTTCTTAAAGGGATTTATTTATTGTAAAGAGGTTTTTAATGTCCGTATAGGTGCAGAAAAGTAGGACGTAAATCTCTGTTCATTTCTAAACTCACTATGAGTATTATTAGGTACACTTATAGTTTCCATTGGCATCATTCTTATATATCCCTTTAGACGACTATTGGTTCTATAGTTTTAGAAAAACTTCACCAAATATCACATCACTATCCTATTATTTCCTACATCTTGAGTGGCATTTATTTATGGTTGTGTGTCATTCTCTAGTTCTGAAATTTTTATATAATAAACAGAAACCACAGAAGGACTAGAAAAATTCTAGTTCATGAAGATCCTGTCTGTCAACTCGTCTTTAGCCAAATCTTTTTAGTAATATCTGTACCCATTTACAGATAAGTCAACTAGAATTATGAGGAAAGATGTCTTATAAGAGGTCACCAGACTTTTACAAGCTGACTAAGATAAGAACCTTTAGCTACAGTTTGTTCGATTGAACTAAGCAAATGATATCAAATTATTACAACTTCAGCCAGACTCTAAATTTCAAAGATCATAAAAGAGGGACGTGGGCATCTAAAAATGGCACATTTCAATGCATGATTTTTTATTATTATCTTACAACAAGTTTACATTTAATTTATTTTACACCAGAATTTATTTTTGTCATCTGATCAAAATTTTCAGCTCATTTAAACTCTGGAGGAGTTCCTAACATATCTAACATGAGCAGTCTATTTTGCATCTACACAATATATTGTATTAAACTATTACAAAGTTCATTCTTATACCTTGACTTTAATAGCTACTATTCTTGTATTTTGGAAGTTTGGATGCAGCTATTTGATTGGATTGTACATTAGCAGTTAAACTGAGCTCTCAACAGAAAAACTGTAAACATTATGGCTTTGTGTTTAATATAGACTTTCTGTAGAGAGCTCTGATTGACAGTATTTGCTAACATCTTGGTAATACAGAAAATCATAGGCCTCGTTAGAAAAATCTTAAACAATAAGCCTAAGGCTGTCGAAGACTCTGATTGGCTGTATTTGCTAGGTACAATACTATTAAATAGCTTCAGACATTCCATGATACAAGAAAGGTGACTATTGCAATATAAGTACAAAGTTCGTAAAAGCTTGACATAGTGAAGGTGATAAATAATATCATCAAAAATAGACACATTTTCGCTCAATCAAATTTTCCAGCAGGCACAATCTTCCATTCATCAACTGCTCTTATTTATCCCTTGGGGTCAGCCCCCTTTCCATCACAAGCCACAATCTTAACTTTATCTACAGTTGTCAGCTCCTGCACAGGAAGTTCCCTAAATTCCACATTATTGAGTACAAAGGTCCACACATTGTCACAGAATCTGTAAGTATTCAACTTTCCTTTAAAGCTGATTTTCGACTTGACACGATTAGCTAGAGCATTGTTTATGGCCTTGTCGAACTGTAGTAAAACTTGGAGGGCCAGGTTTGGTGAGATCTGTCCGTGACGTATCAATTCGTCTAAACTTTCTTGTAAAGTGTGACCCAGTGTGGTGTTTCTATACAGCTGATAACTCATTTTCTGAAAGGAGAAAAAATTGACTCATTCTCAAATGGGAATTTGTAAAAAAATATACAATTTGATTCACAGATTGATAGTGACTATTGTTATGGCAATCTACTATATAAAACAACAGATATATGTAGTCTGCTGTGATTATAGAATATTTTTTTCAAATTACTGCACTGTTGAACAGTTTGATGATTTAACAGTTGGAATAAACATACTTCCCCACCAGAAATTGCATGAAATAACCCACGTTTTACTGAATATTTTTTCAATGACCAATGCCAATGCATTTGCAAAGAAATGTAATACTTTTCCACGAGTCCAAAGAACAAGTATTAAGAACACAATTTAAAAACTTATCTAGCTAGGCCTACTCTATGACTACACAATGTCATTTTCATATTAATTGAAATATCAGCTACAAAAAACTACTAAGAGTCTTAGATTGTCTTTGCTTTGGGTGAATGAAAATGTTAACTACCGGTACATGAACTGTTATTAGTTCTAGTAGTGTACTAGTAGAGCCATTTGTAGTCACAATTTTACACAGTGGAATTTTTCAGTCCAAAGAAGGTTGTTTTCATGATAAGAATTTTCTGGAGGGAAGTGTGTCCATTTATTTCCAATGTAAAATCACTGAACATGATATTTCTATGGACCCGAGGAGATTTGGCATACAATTAAAAAAGAATTATTCTGAATACATTTATGAAATGGGTTGAGAGAAAAAATTCAACTCAGAAATTCAAATTGATTCAGAGATGCAACAAACAGAATTGCATCTTTAGCGCGTAAAGACTGTCAGCCTTGCCAAAAGATGGACCATTTACTCATCATGAATGCAGACATGAAGAAATGAGAAACCAACCTACAAGCTTTGTCGACTTCAATCAATCTGAATAATAATCGAAAAGTCAGACATAATCCGGAAATAATAATTGGGATGTTTCGTTCCAAGAATCTGCTGCGCTTAAGGCTTTATCGTACGTGGGTTTCCTCGCACTTAAGATTTTGTCTTGTTGAGTGAGGATCTTATACACAAAACGATCTAAACCTGAGACAATTTTGTTTTTTGATTGACTTTTCCAATGGAACGTTTTTACAGTTCAAGTTTTTACGAAATTACCCACATTCCACGCATTTCTCATCGCTTGGGACGAAATCACTTCATGGGAAGTAACTCTGGAAATTTGGTCACGTGACGGATAAATTTTCGGTCAAGCCCATTAATTTTGTTGTTTTGTCCCAATTTATCAACGATTCACAGGTGGATTTGCGGTTGTTGCAGAATCTATTATAGGTAAAACACAATTATGCATCTAACTTTTTCTTTTATATAAATACTTTGTGAATCTATTTAGCTATATTTTACGTGCATATGTTTATCGATAAGACGAAAGAAGGCGCTTGGGTGAGTTGATTGCTGCTATAGGAGAATGATTCAGTGCCTGTGTGTGGTGGAAGAGTTCGACTGCGAGACAGGTTCAGAATTGAGATATTTTATGATCAAGTTTAGGACATGGTCTATTTAGTCGTGTAAACAACAAGTTATACACGTTTTAGGAATATTTTTGCATGGTAGTTTTGTGTTTTACTTTTATTTTGGCATTTGGAATTAAGAATTATCATCAGGGAAGGCAATCTGACATTTCCATTGCAGCAGATGTCTCATGTCTGGCCTGAAGTGGAACTAGACACAATGTCTGCCACTGCTATCTTTTTAAATCATAATAATGTGCAGTTATTTTGATATCAAATTATAGATTTTTTGAGCTATTAGATATGGATTTATCATTGAATGGCATTCTTGGTTCAGATTTGTTACATTCCATACATTTAGCTAGGTTATGATTCATAGAATATATTAATTTTCTACATGAAAGCTTATTCATTTCCATTGGGGATATTCTGACATTGTGATGTAGGAAATCAATTTTTATTTTTGTTAGAAATGATTTATCAGAATTTTAAATATCATATTTTAAATATAAATGAATTAAATTCTTAAATTGATTTTAGAAGGGATTTAAAAGAGCAATTTACCAATTCTTAGTAGATCTAATGTCCTAATTTTTGTTCTTAAATCACAAAAAGGGTCATTTTGAATTACTTACTACGATGTGACACTAATTCAGCTTATTTTGTTACAATGTTAACATTTGTATGAACCCAAAGACTTTCTTAGACAATTAGCAATTGAATATTTGTGAAATGAGAGGACAAATTTAAATCTGAGATCACTCAACTATAGTCAGAGAGTAAGGTTTAATCTCATTCATCAAAGTGTATGAGAAGTGTGCTAAAGATTAATCTAAATTGAGTTTATTGATCAGATAAACTAATTAAATAAGATTAATCCAATTATGCTATCAGTGAACAGGTTTGAGGCTATTATGAACAATGTTCACATCAGTGTGACCTATGTATTAGGTTAAGTCAATGTGTATGGTGGGGGAAAGCGGCAAAAACCTAATGCTATGCAGAAATGTCTAATTCAAAACACAAATGTAATATAATGCAATAGCAAATACCTTATACATTAAATGCAAAAGATAAAATACAAGAAACCTCTGATACAAAATACATATAACATCTAATGCACAATTGATTTTACAATGCGAAACATCTACCATAAGCATTAGACGACATATCTCGTTTGCATTACCTACATTTCTTCACTGTAATATCTTTATTTAGGTCAAGGTCGAAGTATTTCCCCCGCCATAAATGTGAAGTATATTTTCAGTTGAATAGAAATTACAATAAGTTTCTTTTCATTTAAAAGTAGGTAGATTGTTGTAGGGTTGAGAGGATGTGTTATCCAGGGAGGGTAATGGTGGGGGTTATTGCTTGATATGTCTTCAAGTCAAACCACCAGATATTGTCCAAGGATTAGGTTTTTTGGGTATTGAACTTTCTGATATTGTCCCGTTTTTGAGTAAGGAATAGATCAAATATATTTATAATTTTTCGTCACCATTGTAATCCAACAAGTTTCTTCCACAGTAGTGTTCTCATGATTAAATTTTGAACCAATCAAAACCTGTCATGTAGAACCCATATTTAGAGCTTGTATTATGAAAAAACGTACGAAATAGTAATCTAATATTGGATTAGATTGGTTTGTCCCAAGCCTAATATTGGATATATGGTAGGGTTACAACGATTCACAAATTGATGAACTACGATTCTTTCCTTCTTATTGATGCATTGTGTTGGATAAAAATAATCGTGATGTGTCGGCACGATTAATTCTAAGCCCCCTTTAATAACAAATGACACAGAATCCTTGTGTGTATAAGAAATTGTGTCATATTGTCATTTTTGAAGTACGATTTACACAACAAAATTTGCAAAAATTCATTTCTAACTTTGAAATTTGAGTTTTTTTCACAATTCCTTACTTCTAAATGTTCTCAGGTGCTCAAGTGACAAAATTGTTAGTAATTTTACTTATTTGGACTATTTTTTCCCTTTCTTCTCTAATAAATGAATTGCGATAATTATCACAATAAATCGTATCGTTGGGTTAGTATCGTATAGTGTATCGAATCACAAATTCAAGAATTGTTGCAGATAGGACACTGATGGCAACGATTCCAATTTACAATCAGATTTTTGTGGTTCTTACAATTCCACTTTTAAAAACATTACATTTTTATGACGTCAATGTTGCAAAGGTCCTTATATATCAATAGTAGCTTTTGCTATGTGACATCATTTAACAGTTACTTTTAGTAGAATTGCAAAAACAACAGACTCTGACTGAAAATTGGAATGGTGCAATTGATATCAGTGTCCTCATTATATATAATTTAGTTTAGAAAACTTATTTACAATCCCTTTTTATATGCCCACACATAAGATGGGTGTATATTGCAATCACCCTGTCGGTCCGTCTGTCCGTTCACATTTGGTTAGTGCTTACTCTACAGGCTACAATTCTGTACAGATTCTTTTCATTTTTTGTTTTCAATGTCATTATGAAGATGATCCCTATCGATTTTCGTGATGATCGTGTCTGACTTGACATTTCACTCTATTAGCTATATTTAAGAACTTGGTGGAATTTCTCAGCATAAATAACTGGTAGTAAATATATATATCATTGAATTTAAACTATTAAAATTTCCTTGACATGAGAAAAATCATACTTTAATCACTAAATACTGTTTTATCATTTCTGACAGCTGCCAGTGGGCGTATGTTACCTTGCAAGCTATCTTTAAAAGTAGAAAAATGACCAATTGATTGGAAGAGATCACAGTGACCTATATAAATAAATCAACTATGATTTCTGGAAGGAAGTAGAACTAGCCTAATAATTTCCTGTCATTAGTTAAAAAGATTGTATGTTAATGACTAGGAAGAAATTTAAACTATTTTTCTATAAACATTATCATCATTATTATGTACGGTAACTTGTATCTTCATTATGTAACTTGTATCTTCATTATGTAACTTGTATCTTCATTATGTAACTTGTATTTGAGATAAGCCCCACAAATCTCTTCCATCCATTCCATGGATGTGATATTGTCATGGTTATGGCCAGTCTCAAAAGGTCATATTGTATAGCAGTGCTCCCATCCATTTTTGGATCACTAGTTTTTTGAGAATTTTCACCATTAAATAGCCAAATTTGGCAAAGCTTATCGATACAAAGCTTAGATGGGTTTCCTTATTTATAAGTGTCAAATTAAGTAGCAAACTATTCGATTAATTGGTATTTCTAATGAACTATCATGTATTCTTAATCTACTTTCTATTCATATGTGTATTAGCATTTTCATTTTCATAAATGAAAATAAGGTAACCCATCTTTAACCATTTATGAATCAACTAAGATATATTTGGATATTCTATAATATTCCGGTCTTTCACCCAGTACCATGATACAGTTGAAGGGTAGGCTTTTATCTTCTTGGTGAAACTCCAGTAAGTTTAAGTGTATCCCTAACATTGATATAGAAGGTGACCTAAGCCTTTACAATGTCAAGCTATTACAAATAAAACTTATAGTTTTACATCATAAGGCACTTTTCTTGCGTCACTGAAGTTTGCATCATGACAATGTCAAGCTATTACAAATACGTCTTATACCTTAAAATCATTTCCACTATTTTTGTATCACCGAAGTTTATATCTTCACAACGTTAATCTATTTCAAACATGATGCTATAAGGTACTTTATCATGAAATGCAGCAATTTGATTGGATCAATACAGCCAGTCAGAGCCTTATACAGATAGACTACAGTAAATTATTTGGCTGTGTGTGTAATCATTCACAAGGAATGATTGGCTGTATTGCTAGCAAACAATCCAATCAAATTGCTGCATTTTCAAACTTCCAAAAGCAATATTGTAAGAGATGTATCTCCTTTAAAAAAAATGTCTACAAAAAGTCAAGCTTTTACTGTGTCTAATACCTTGACTTCCTAAGGCACTTTTCTTGCTTTTGGAAGTTTGAAAATGCAGCAATTTGATTGGATTGTATGCTAGCAATACAGCCAAACATTGCCCGTGAAAATTTATATTACCTCAAGCTCACACATCAAATTATTTTGCATTTGTAGTAAGAAAAGAATAAGAATAGCAAGATGACTGGACGAGTAATTATAGTAACTGGAGCTAATTGTGGACTGGGTTTTATGACAGCCAAATTATTATGCGAGGGTGGAAACGATGTGATACTGGCCTGTAGGAACGAAGAGAAGGGAAAAGCTGCCGTTGAAACCATTTTAAAAGAAAATCCTAATGCTTTAGCCACATTTTTGAAGGTATGTAAGCTTATTATATTTGGTTAAAAATTTTCATTATCAAAAACCTTGTAAACATTTAAAACTCTAACTTCTGAGTTTAGTTTAAGTTAAAACTTTCTGAAAAGTTATAGAACAGTTTGTTGTAGATTTTGATGATAGCTTTCTTAAATTTGAGCATAAAATTTCTTTCGACCTATGGAAAAAAAGAGAATTCCCCCTTTAAAATCTCTTCTATTTGTAATCAGTATTTTAAAAGATTGAAATTTTCAGTGCAAGTTGATTTACCAACTGTATTAAATATTCTCATCTTGCTTATCTAGACTATACAAAATCATTAGATTTGATTTGATTGCGCTTGGTATTAAGTAAATAAAAACACTTAATTTTTCTGTCAAAATTATCCTTAGTTACAGAACATCTAAAGATCAATTGTTACTGGTATGCAATTTATGAGTTATCATCATTTCTATGGATGTCACCTTAAAATATCGAATTGATATTTCAGTTGGATTTGTCTGACTTATCGTCAGTGAGAACCTTCGTAGAAGAATTCCGTAAACTGGACAAGAAATTGAATGTGTTGATCAGCAATGCTGGAATTTACCCAGGAAAATCTCTGTTGAGATCTTTCACCAAAGATAACTTTGAACTGACCATGGGAACCAACCATTTGGGTAAGTCTCTTTTAACTCCTACCTCAAATGTAACCTTGTCTGGCAAACTATCTTTTGATAGGTCAGAAGCTGTTATCATTGCATTTCGCCATATTTCCAGTTCAGTCTTTTTAGGGCATTAAAAAAAATTTTTTTTTTTTTGAATGATCATGAATTATTAGCTTTTAAAAATGCAGGGATGTGAGATTTCTGCGTGATTCCTCGAAAGTTGATTTTGGAGTGAAAAATTCGTGGCTCACTGTTTCTTTGGATTAAAATTTAAGTTAGAAAATTATGCATGCTTACAAATCGAGTCTGATATTGATAGCAAAACAACTGTCTAGTAGTCTAGGCATGTAGGCCTATTTGTAGAAAAAACTTTAACTTAACTTAATAAAGAGAGAGAGGCAGTCTCATTGTCTGATCAATTATACCTCTATCAAAGAGTGAATACAAAGAACATGTTGAAAATGAAACAAGCAAAGAGCCAAATTTTTAAAGTGAGAGAAGAATAAAATTGTACATGATTTTGACTTGATTTTTCGAAAAACCAATGGCACGGCGCACCCTCCCATTCCCTCCCCCTGACAATTATGTTGTCCACATGACCCCTATGGAGTCCTCGGAATTTTCCTCTTTTTTTATAATTCCTTGCTCACATCCCTGAAGTTGTAAAATATTTCTGCAGAGAAGAAGTGTGGTTGCTAACCTGGATTTCAGGGGTTTGGTCTCGGCAATGATTGAGATCTTTCCATAATGTCCATCATCACTTCTTCTGGTTGGAAAAATGTTATGAAATGTATGGAGTTTTACTTCCTTACTCTTCTACACCTAATTGAGTTAATGAAGCTTAGACAGACACAAGGAAAAGCATCTTGTGCTTGGCATTTACTTTACAGATCTCCTGACAAATATATATTAAATAAGAGCAGGCTAATACTAATGTTCCCTCACTATACACTGCATGATGTTGCCCATATCTGTTGGTGTGAGTATCTGATATTATTCATTTAAGCTTTTAAAAGTTATTACGCATTTAGGCGGTAAACTTATTATGTAAATTGTTGAAAAGCTATTCATACAAGTGTTATTTGACATTTAGAGAAATAACCCACTAATTCATATATATTCTCCAATAATTACTTTAAAACATTGAATATATTATACTGCAACACTACTCTTTCATTAGTTTCTAGACCAGGGATGTTGATTCAGTTCATATTAACCAGTCATGTCTGACTTGGACTTACAAAAGATCTGATGTAAGCTAATTTTAATTGTGATCAATGGGAGTAGAAATTTCTTGTGATATTTATGAAAATGAACTTGCTGGAAGAACTTGAATTGAGATTATTGACTATTATATTGTGTTGTAGAGTTAAACTCTAGGTGATATTACATGAGACTGAGATTGATGTTATTGTAGTGTTACAGTAGACTTATTGTTTGACTAGATGACAGTGTTGTATGAATTGTGATAGTTGGTAGTATTTAGATAGATAATTCTGTAATTGGTCACCAATTACCTCTAGTACCTTTATTGTACTAGCTTATTTCATTCACTTAGTCTGAAATACTCTGGCTCATCTACACTCTATATATTGATGGATAATTGTTTTCATATGATACAGTGCACCCTTCGAGGAGTCGTCACACCTTTATTTTTATGGTAGCCCAATACCAACATATTCTTTAACTGGAGAAAAGCTGGTAAAAATTATACCAGCATGTTAAACTTTTAAAGTTAAATGGACAGTTATATTTTTGTCTCAGAAACAAGCCAAGCAGTAGTAGTGTTCACAGCTTACTGTCAAAATTTCAGCTTCCAAATCCACTATTACATATATTCAAGACTCAAGTCAGCCCCCCAAAACGGTGCACCAGTCCCTTTAATTTCCATTTAGTTTCTGCCATTCAAATCTGCTTGCGTTGTCTTCCATGTTAATGGTACATTTCTTTTATAATCAGAGCTAGTAGACATGTATTGAGGGGTGATGACCAACACTGGGCTAGTTCCAGGATGCTTTGGCACAGGCTGGCACAGGTGTAAGAAGTTTTCTTTCCTTGAGGAGGATTCGAACCCATAGCACCTAATCTCCTAGATGAAGACAATCCAACTCGCTATCAACAGAGCTATTTTACTGCCACAGTAGACAGGGTTAGAGTTTTTCGGACTATTCATCACTGTACATTTCTATATTTGAATGTATTAATGGTTGAGAATAATGATAGTTAAGTGAGATTCTCAAATCAACTAGGGATTCACAGCATATCATCTGATTCATATCAGTCAACATGAGCTTGATAAATTAAGGTACTAAAAGGTCATGGTTCGTCATTTTTTGGGGGTTGATTTGACTTTTGAATATATCTTTATTAGCCTTCAGAACTACAAGATGTTTTTTCTATTTAATTATGTCCTTTCTATAAAAAAAAGACGTCATAATTTGAACCAAACACAGATGATTCTAGACACACATGAATTAGAAGACTCAAATTTCATCGTTGAGCTGTAAAGACTATATTACTGAATTGCTTAGCTAAAAAATTCCTGTTTCTGAGACTAAGATACAGTTGATCAAACGGAAATGATACAACATACTTGTCTTCTAAACAAATATAATCGATTAGTGACCAAAGTCATTCATGTTCGAATGTTTTTTGTTTCAAATTTTTATAAAAATAAAACTGGGACAAATGTTTCTGGAACAGCTGTTTCAAAGTGTCGTGTATGTTTTTAGGAAACATTTTCTTTCTTCAACCAATCAACATGTAATATCTCATCACATGAAAGTCAAGTAACCTAATTTCGTGCTAACCTATTTTTAATTAGTAATAATAATTTACATATGGGACCTCGCGTGACCTCCGCATTTGCTTGTTTTGATAAACATGGGTTATCTCTATAAATCCAGTATTTTCAAGCAAGGTAAAATGTATTAATGTATACTATGACATAAACAAAATGGCAGATTTCAGTTGTTACCAATCACTAAAGCCCAACACAGACAAGGAACATTTTAAGCGAACAATCGTAAAAATTTTGCTTCGATCAATTTTTTTTTCACCATCTGCGGATTACAGAAACACGAACAAAAATGTTCGAGAGACTTGTTCGTGAAATCAAACATTTTTAATTGATTTTTAAAAATTGTTCGCCTTCCGAACAATTCTTTCTTCGCCGTCTGCGTTAACGACGAACATTAGCGCTGAACATTCATCGACGAAAGACCAATCAGCGATCGTAGCTAGACCACATGACACTCAAAATGGCGACGTCCAGTGAATCCACCAACACAAACTTTTGGACTGTGGTGAAGGAGCAGATTTTAGTAGATATGTGGTAGCAATCTGCCTGTTTTTTTATGATTTCTTCTCGCGACTATTCAGATAGAAACAAGAAGTACGCTGCGATGCAAGAAATAGCACAAGCCCTGGAAACAAGCGGTAAATTTACCTCCTTTCGCCCAACCTCGTGTGACTGTAGTGTATTCTATGCCATCTTCGATATAAACTTAAAATTTTTAGACTTCCAATAAAGGGAGATATTTTTAAATAAATGAGCTGACTTTCCAGAAATAATCCAAACATGGCCTAGCTTAACCTAAATTGTTGTGTTGCTAACGCAATTTTACATTTTCTTCTGGACGTCACCATTTTGAGTCATGTGATTTTCCGTGGCACTAGTGTATTGTTCGAGCTAAATGTTCGTTGTCTGCGGAATTATGTTTATCGCCTGCAGATAACGGAAAACAAATATATTTGTTCGATGTTTTTGTTCGTCACATGACGAATTCACATGATCAACTAGCGGATTCCGTGTCAGCAGAAAATTCTATGGAACACAATGTGGGCCATATTCTTATGTTTCAATGACTTTTAGCAGTAAATCACGCTACGTATCTTATTTTGTCAGGCACTATTTTTCATTTCTAATCATTGTTTTTTGAATGAATTGTCATTAGTTATAATGAAATATTATTAAAGATAAATACTAAGAGAAGTTAATTATACCAACCGGTATCCATACAACTTTTTCTTATTTATAGATCAAACATTGTACACGAAAATAGGTGACGCATTCTGCCGCCGTTGTTGAGTTGGTTACTCATGAAATGTGGGTCAAAGTGAAGGATTCATGAAGAAAATCGAAACAAACCAATTTTATTTTGTGGAATATCTGAGGAAACATGTAATACATAAAAAAAAAATTCTGTTTTTTTAGCTTTGACGAAATTCGGTGTTGGATCCTTATATCCACGAAAATATGTATATGAACCTTGTGGTCATGTGACATAACCAGACAAAAATGATTCTTTTGAACAATGTCCTTTATGTGTAGCCTAAAAACTTATCAATGTTTTTGTTTTCAACAGTCAGAAATTTGTCATCAGCACCTGGTCAACCAGTCATAATTTTATTTATTATTCATTGGTATTTGACCCATCAGTTATGACTGGCAAAAAGTGCTGAATCCCTATCCCTGTAGGAATAAACATAATTTGATGGCATCCATTGGACTAAAGTTCAGAATTGAAAATCTGATGTCAGAGTTAAAACTTCCTGTTGAGTCAGTCTGGCTCTTAAAATAAAACAATCAATACAGTGTTCAGCATACTGCCATGTAATTATGAATACAGTTATGTCACTGAATAATAATCCAATATAAGGGGAAATGTGGTTTATGTGTAGAATGGCTTCAATAGCTGCAAGATAATTTTTTGAAATAACTTGATAAGAACTTACAAGAAGTGCTGATATTGTCGATGTCATGATACAATGCATATCACAGTACGGGCAAATACAGGTTTTTTGATTCTTTTTCTTTGCTATTAATACCCTTTTTAGAATTATTGATTGATTGCATTACCTACTGTACCCTTACTGAATAGAACAACTTAGATTATAGTAATGTCTGAAAAGTTTATTATATACTACAAAACACATCATTTCAAAATTAAATTCTTGAGGGTAATAGATAAAATATAACACTTTATAAAGTTAATGAATTCAGAAAAGTAATGGGTTTACTATGTTCTGGTTCAGAAAAATATGTGTCCTTTTTCTAAAGTCATAATGACATTACGTTCTGCCTCAATAGTCAAAGTTGCATGTCCTGCAGGTATTAAAGTGTTCTGCATTTTTTAAACTGTTTGATGATTTAATCTATAAAATATCTATATAGGTCTGATAAACCTTAGTCATACCATCTTTCTTAAAGAGTTACTACTTGTTTTTCAATAATGATGTTGTTTTATAATATTATCAGATTATACCTGGATTCTGTTGGTTAGTTATGACACTAGGTTGATCCACTGGTGAATATTATAGCCATGTTTGAGAAATGATGTTATGTTCATTCTATCATATAAAGGGACAGTTTGATTTACAGACTTTCTGTCAAGGGCTCTGATTAGCTTTATTTGCTGGCTTACGATCCAATCTTTCCGTAATACCTGGTGGCTATTGTAGTAAGGTTATTAGAATCAGTTTGTAATAGGTAGACGTTGTGAAGATTGTAGAATAGTAAAATAATTTCTGTTATTTCTGAACCATTCAACAGGAAGTCCTATTAACAGTTGTTGTATGTATAAAAAATAATGATTGACCTTTATAACAAGTAGGGTCAGGTTAATTATGGTTTCAGATAAATTTAGACAATCATCTCAGCAAATGTCGACTGATATAGATAGTTAAATTTTAATCTATTCAAATGACACAAAATAGAGTTTTACATCATATCTGCACCTAATTCAGATAATGAAGTTGAGCAACCAAAACAGAGCCACATACATATTGTAGCAGAAAAGAATGACTTAGTCATTTGTGTGAATAGCTGAACATGATTGGCTGATAACACCGTTTCAACTTGACTGGCTGAAACAATTGTATCAAGAGCCTATCAAGATGGCTTATCTGTTTATATTACTAGAGTAAGGGTGAAATATAATTATTGAGGTTTAACCTTCCTCTCAAACAAACTAATCATTATTTCATACTGTTGCCTCGTTTATGTTTCAAACTTGTTGAGATGGTAACAGTTTTTCATATAAACTATTAAAGGAACACATTCACCAATCATAATTTAGTCTCTGAAATACGAATTTCTATAGCATAGCTAAGCAGTTATAGTGTTCACTGGTCACTTTCGAAATTTGAGCCTTTAAATCCATGAATTCGCGATGGAAAATTAAAATGACAATTCCTCTTTTCTGGATACTTTGCATATATATAGAAAAGACATACAGAAATAGAAAGTGAAATTCTTAGTTTGAAGTATGGTTGAAGAGATTATGCGATTTTCCAAACGAAATATTGAATTATGATTCTGAAAAGTGTTACAGATGGCTAAAATTGATCTATGAACTATGTTCCTTAGCATCTCATAAATTATTTTTTTTGTATTCTTCATCAAGTTAAAAAAGAGCCTCAGGTGTAGTTGTCAGATATATATCATATCTAGAAGCCATTATTAACTAACTATACATTAATTAATTTGAATAATTTAAACAATTGCTTCAGTTATAAAACTTCTTAGTTTGCTTTGATTAATATTATAATTAACTTACTTTCCTTTTCATGTGTTAATTAGTTATGTTATCTAAATCCTTGATTTTGGGTTCATGGAGTGGCTTAGTTTGTTAGACAGTTGCTCTCTACCTCATAGGAGGAGCCACAGTGGCTCAGTGAGTTAGACCCTTGCTCTCTAACCTAAAGATCAAGGATTCAATCCTTACATGGGTCAAGATGATATTTTGGGATTCTTCCCCAGTCAGAGATGCGGAGGAGACATGGAAAATGCGCATAGTCGTTCGTATGGGACAAGGAAGCCATACCCAGATGGTTGAAAATCCAAAAAGAGATGGCTAATGCTGCTGTCTCAGAAAAATTTCCCTCATTGCAGACTACATGATGTTGTCTATCGAGATTAGCACAATTGGATGCAGACGTAAATCTCTATTTATTTCATTCCATTTGTACCTTGAAGGTCCATGGTTTGATCTTAGATTAGTTGAAGATAATCCCCTAGGATTTTTTTTAAAAAAAGCCTCTTATCATTTCAATAAAACATTAAAGAGGTCCTAGGTACTACAGGCAAAACCTTGAGGGAAAAAAATTGAGGGAACAAAAACAAAGAGTCTGAAAGACAAGATGAAGTTATTTAAGTGAGAAAAGTGATTTACAAAGTTATTGTAGTTTGACTTATCTCCTAAATTTGGTCAAATTAATCCTATGGATTAGCACATGAAGGTCATTATCTTTATAAACTATGCCTTAAACAGTAGTTTTATATCAAATCATCTTCACAATGTCAAGGTATATTGAAAGGCAAAAGATATGTCATGATTGAAGCTAAATAAGTTGAAAACCATACATTTTGCTTTTCTTTATTTTTGATATGTTGTAGTGTAGAGGTTAGTCTTTAATTTCGTCAGGTCAGGTGTCCAACAGGGTGAAGGTCATAAGTCACCAGAAAGAATAATCATTCTCTGACAGACCTGAATCATATGTCAGAAATGAAATCTATGGCATTTATGTTTTTATTCCAACAACACCAATTACAATTCTTTAGGACCAGTGGTAACAGAGCTGTACCCATTTGAAGTTTGGAGAGTCTGCAAAGATTGTCATAGTCAACATTTCGATAAGTCTTTATCTCCCCAACCCCTGACCTAATTTTGATGAAATTTAGAATTTTTGATCTTTTCCATCAAAACCACTATGTCTGCTAAGTTTCATCAAAATGGGTGATGGTCAGGTGAACATATTTTTTGGGGGTGATTTGACTTGGAATGAACCCTTCCCCTTCAGGCATTTCCTATAAATATTCTTTTATTTGTTCAATAATGTCCAAAAGAGTTCAGAAGAAAATGTTGTATCTTTCAGGCCATTTCTTGTTGACAAACCTACTTTTGGAAGATTTGAAAGCTTCAGCTAAAGATACTGGTGATTCTAGAATTGTCGTGGTAACATCTTCACTTCATGATACTAAAGTCAAACATTTTAGTAAGTACTCAATTCTTTAGTCACGTGATGTAAAGGGAGGGAAATTTTTTTGCATTTCTTGGACACCAAATATATCAATGCAGTTTTTGGGATAGTGACTTCATAAAAAGTTTAGTTTAATTGGAAAAGCAAGATCCATGTCATCTGTATGAAAATTGGAATGGTGCAAATTAATTTATTAGATATCAGTGTCACCGCTACACATATTAAGTTTAGTAAACCTCTTTACAATCTATTTAAAGAATATTTTGTATATTTGTAGATACTCAGCCTCTAAATATTGATGATATTTTCCTGTCTGAATATGGATCTTACAATGCAGCCCAGGCTTATAAAAACAGTAAACTGGCTAATGTATTGTTTACCTATGAATTAGCACGACAAGTAGAAGGTTCTGGTGTAACTGTTAATGCTCTATGTCCCGGTAGGTTTTCAATTCCGATGCCAGTGAGGGTACTAGAAAAATGGTTTGTGCTCCAAATTGTACCCCAACTGCATTTCTAACAAATTTTAAGATATCACTTTTTGTTATTTTTTTTGCCAAAAAATATGTGTCAGAATGTACCAAATCAATCTAATTTTCAAAACATTTTCTTGAGAAAGAATCTGCTCTTATGCTCTATGAGCCTATTTGCTCAGATCTGCTTCATTTTGAATCTCAACCTTACCAGTTTTCCTCCATTCACGGTCATCACACATTTTCATTCTTTTTTGATAAAGGTAGCTTAAATTGTTCTGTTTAGCACTTATTTATTCTGGTATATTCTATTATAGGTGCCCTCACACCATAGTGATTATGAGTTCCATGTGGTTGCTAACAATGAAAGTGGTCATGAGTAATGAACACAACTCACTGCTTGAACAATTTGAAACTCTGACCGATATTTTTATTCACATCCATACACAAGTGCAGATCCATATGGTGATCACAAAGGCACTGTTAAATTTAAATATAATGAAAACTGTCTATCTCTTCCAGGATTTATCCCAAGTACCGAATTGGCCAGGAATTCTGCTGCTCCAATGAAGTTTTTTACCCGATATATCCTGGGTGGTTTATTAAGATTTACCAAGATAACTCGTACTCTAGAGCAGGGAGCCAAAGCTGAGGTTGATCTTGCCACTAATGATGAACTCAAAGGTGGGTACTTGTGTTTTATTCTAGAGATACAAGGATTCTTCTGTCAGTGGGAGGCACATGAAAAATTCTTTGCTAAATTCCTCTTATCGCACACTACCATTGGTAATAGCATTTTGATTCATCCTTCCTTTTGTTTTAATTCATTCAATCATTCACCTGTTAGATCAATCTTTTTTCTTTCATTTCTAGATCAATCTTTTTTCTTTCATTTCTTGATCAATTCTATCTGCCTATTCTAGGAGTGAATGGTAAATACTACAGCAATCTACAGGAGAAGAAATCTTCTGAAGAATCCTTGGATGAGGAACTCCAGAAGAAATTCTTTGAGCTCAGTGCCAGGTATTGTCACCTGGATGGGTACGAGGCGCTTGATGCACCACCTCCTCCCACCCCCGAAGAACTGAAAGGTTTGTTTTTTGCTATCAAATTTTTATTAAGAGAGCTATGACCAGGTTTTGTTCAATATAACAGTTATCATTTTTATTTGAGGTGTCTGACAAAATGCAACAACAAATTTTAAAGCTTTTTTTGTACAATTCCAATTCTCTGTCCTACATTTGTGGTTCCTGTAATTTCAATAACCAATTATCTTGGAGGCTATTTACTATTATTTTCCTGCTTCTCAAGTTTATTTACAAATATTATAAATTCTTTCAGCCCAGGAAGAAGCTTTCAAACAAAAGGCAAAGGAAGAAGCAGAAAAGCTTAAAGCTGAAAAGCAAAAAGCAAAGGAAGAGGCCCAGAAATTGAAAGAAGAAGCCAAACAAAAGGCTACTGAAGAGAAGAAAAAGGCAGAAGAGGAAAAGAAGAAAGTTGAGGATGAAAAAAAGAAGGTAATTTATCCACTGATGGTATTTTAGTTGTTGAATTTTACTGATTATATATGAGAATTGGAATACCAGTTTCAAAACAGTAAATGTTTCTAAGTAGTCACCTATGTCTGTCTATCCCTATTTTTGTGTAAACTCTCTAAAAACCATACTTGGTTAATACCTACCAAATCCAAAAGGAAAGTTGATTTTGAAATTGAGCAATTTTTGCATTTTACGTTAAGAATGGGCAATTTCTTGCACCTTGTACACTGTTTTCTTAAAATGTGTCTACAATTACACTAAACTCTTGTTTCATTTTACATTAGCCACTTAGCTACTCCAGTTAAGGTCTTACAACTCCCTACTTGTTTCTTTGTTTTAATAAACTTGACCTTAACTTGATGACCCTCAATGTAATCAATACAGTCAATAGAAAAACTTTCAATAACATTCAATAGCATAATGTTCATTATCAGCCTAATGCTCTACTTGCTTGTCACAAAATCTCAGCGCTGGAGAGAGTTGAAATTTGGTTGGCTGATAGTGTTATCAATGATATGAATATTATAGTCAAAAACCAATGTCTTTAGACCCTAATCAGAGTGACCAAATAAAGGTAAAAAAATATATATGAGTGAAAGTATGATTTAATTGTAATAAGGCTACAATTATGCATGTCTAACTAAATTTCAATATGTATTTAGGTTGAAGAGGAAGCTAAATCAAAAGTAGAAGAAGTGAAGGAAGAAGTAGGTGAGAAGGTGGATGAAGCTAAAGAGAAGGTTGAGGAAGTCAAGGAAGATGTTGAAAAGAAAGCTGAGGGTAATTTTTCTTTATTTATTCATTTATACACTGACTAGAGCTCATTTGTTTACTGACTAGAGCTCATTTGTTTACTGACTAGCTCATTTGTTTACTGACTAGCCCATTTGTTTACTGAGTAGCTCATTTGTTTACTGACTAGCTCATTTGTTTACTGACTAGCTCATTTGTTTACTGACTAGTCCATTTATTCACTGACTAGTCCATTTATTCACTGACTAGCTCATTTGTTTACTTACTAGCTCATGTTTTTACTGGCTAGTTCATTTGTTAACTGACTAGTTCATTTGTTAACTGACTAGTTCATTTGTTTACTGACTAGTTCATTTGTTAACTGACTAGTTCATTTGTTTACTATCTCATTTGTTTCCCAACTAGTTCATTTATTCACTGACTAGAGTTCATTTATTCATTGAATAATCTAGTTCATTTATTCACTGACTACAGTTCATTTATTCATTGAATAATCTAGTTCATTTATTCACTGACTACAGTTCATTTATTCATTGAATAATCTAGTTCATTTATTCATTGACTAGTGCACTTTTTCACTGACTGGAGGAAGATTTTTTTTTTTAAAAAGAAAATATTGCTAATAAAGAAAATGTAAAACTTTCAGAAGTGAGTGAGACAGTAAAGGAAGAGGCAGAAGCTGCTAAAGATAAACTAGGGGAGGTCATAAACCCAACACCACAAGTTGAAGCTGCTTCTTAAAATAACAAGCACTCCTATTGGTCAATACCATAATATGGTAACCAATCAAATAAGCTTTTACAGAAGAAATTTAAAGAACAATTCCATTTTGTATACTTGTCAAGAGTGAATATATTATAATATGCCTTTATGTAGTCGGACATTTTTTAATTCACCAGTATTTTGTTGAGATTTTGTTATTAGAACATTTTAGCAAAATTTTGGGTGTTTATTTTCAAAACTTGTAACTTCAAATAATCTTTCTTCTGTCAGTATGAATTGTTGAGATTTCATCCTCCAGCATGGACCGTGAGCTGGGTTTAAATGTTCACATGTTTGACCCTTAAATGTAAATTGATAAAATTTAGAAAATTTCAATCTTGATTTTAACACAAAAAATTTTGCTAAATGTTTTTTATCATTTCATTTTGCTTTTCATTGTTAATACTGCTTCAGTGGAAAGGTATAATAGTGCTTTTCATCACCATGGTATTTATGGTAAAAAATTCACAATTTTTACATAATTTTTTTATGAATTCAATACATTTTCGCATCTATGAATAATAATGCTTCCATCATAATTTTTGTCATAATATCAAATTATATGAACTAAAATAGACAATACTGAAGTGTTAATACTAGTTTTAACTAGATTAGCTTTTGAAGTTAAAAATTCAATTTTGCTTTTGAAGTAAATTTTGCCCTTTGGATATGTAATGTTATTAAATTGGGCTGTAAGCTTGTAAAATTTGTTAAATTGTTAATGCTTGTAGTACTTAGAAATAGTATTTTAGCTAGTAGGTTTGTTAGTCATTGCTTAGCTTAGCTTACTCTTAAAATGTGTGGTCTGTTTAACTCTTTAAGTCCTAGAGGTTTGAAAAAATATGTTATTTCTGAAAAAAATATGATTAGGTGACCTAGGTCCATGATTTTCATTGGAATAAATTTCTAACCAGTGTTTTTTTTTTATAAACAATAAATTTTGGGCTTAGAAAGATTTGAAGGTTATTTGCATATTCTTTAATCAACCAATTCTGCCAAAATAAGTACATATTTCTATCTATTGGGTGATTAGATATTTTCACCAATTTCAATTTTCAACTTCTCAAAAGATCTGCCACTAAAAGTGTTCAAATTTTAACTTTTGCGATCTCTTGTATAACTTTTTTTTGATAATTTTCTAGAAGTGCAAGAACTTTTTGTCATTTTTTTTAAATTTTCTTTTATATTTTTTCACTTAATGAAATGTTTCTCCCAAAATTCATTTTTTTCATTGACATGGTTATTTGGTAAATTGACATTCCTAACAACAACACCTAACAGTTAGCTTTACCCTTTTTGCCAATTATTTTTCTTATTTTTACATTTTTCTGTTTATACAACCTCAAAGGGATACAGTCATCTAAATATTCATTTTACCAACTGATGGAACTCAATTTTAGCTATGTATATCACTTTTCAAAATTGACATCTGATGTCTGGTTCTAGTTGTAAGAATTATCAATCTTGCCAAATATTTTATTTCACTATCAGGTAAAATTTCATATCATATAAACAGCTTTATATTGACTTTAAAATTCCATTGTGAGAAAGGCCATATTTAATCCAGTTTCATTCAAAATTGATTTGAACATTTTTAAGTTAAGAAATCAACCTAAATCAAATTATAAGCCAACACCTCATTTGGGGTTATGCACCTGTTTCTATGAAATGTTGGTATATGAATACTATATATATATCCAGAAGAATTCATTAACAAAATAGAATAGTTTTTTTTCAGTTACTTCAAGATTTATACTCAACTTTTTTCTCAAATTTTTACCACTTTTTTCGTGTTTTTTAGTGGAAAATTGCCGAAATAAATCATATTTGCTCGTTAGGCTTTTTACACCTATAACTAATTATATTTTGATGTAATGTTTTTGTCTGCTCAATACTCCCATTTCATTTTTTACCAGCATTTCTTGCTTTTGTGCCATTCTGCATTTTTACTTATGTAAAGAAATTGCACAAATTAATTTTGTTCAAGTTATCTGCTAATGTAACTCTTAATGCATATGAATTGTTCGACAAATTTAGAAGTCGCTAAAAAAATATCCCTTATGTTGTTGCTTTATTAGTGTATTTTTATATTTAAACTGCTGCTTTGAGATGTCACTTTCCCATATTTATATTTTTGGGTTTGGTTTTCTGCAATTTGATTAAAATAAGATTAGGCTCACAATTATCTTTATTGTTTTGTGATAGTCTACATTGTAAATTAAATAGATTTCTTGCTCTAATTGAGGTAGATATTCCACAATTCTATATTTAATTAAGAAATGGGTTCTTTATGACACACTTTGATTGGTTTAAAATGCTACCTTTGGGACAGAAATATTTTTAGATTACAATTTAAACTAAAAATATCAGAAAACCAAAAAGTTGTTATCTTATTTTGATTAGATCGGGTTTTGTGCGCTTTTGATATTTTGGTCCTTTGCCATAGTTTCATTTCTATACCATGGGACAATGTCAGTCAACTCTCTATGTGTATATGTGCCTAAAGGTGTGTGCTCAATCTTGCTTTTTATTTGTATGTGCCTATTTCATATTGCCTTTTTCATACCTAAAAACTCATTCCAACATTTCTGTCATTCAAAGGAGTAGTTATATCTTTTTGAATTTTGTCATTTTTGAAACTTTCGGACTTTCTTCCCTTACTTTTGGAAGAATTTTATTAAGGCAAAGTCTTATTGTTAATCAGGAATTTCATGTGCATTGTTTTCATGCACAGTTTTGTCAAGGGCTAGATTTCTTCTAACTCTTACACCCTCAGATACAACATATTCTAAAATTTCATCATTCTTCAACAGCTATTTACTCAAGTATCTCAGTTTTGTCAAGTTCGTTTAATGGATTTTCTTACTTTTGTTACTTAAATAACTTTAATTTAGAATACTCATGTTCATGCTTTTTTCTTCCATTTATCCGACTTTCTTATGTTCATTTGATGGATTGTTTCTTGATATTTCATTGCTATTTTCACAACGTACACCTATCTTTTTATCTGTATGACTATTCATGTCCCGCTATTTTTATATTCTTATATTTTTTGCGATGTATTTTTGTATATGGTTTA